GCTAGAGATGTCAGCCTTTCCTCCCCTGCTCCCCCTCCCTCTTCTCAGTTTCTGTTCCCCTGAAAGACTGCCTTCTGAATCTCTGAATCTTTTCCCAAATTTTTTTATGAATTGATTCAGAGGCTCTAAACTGATTCAGAGGGGGGGTGGTATGGTCTCCCGATTTGCTTTAGATTCAGTGATTCAGCCTCGGAATTGGGCCGAATCTTCTCCAAATTGAATTGGTGACTGAAGCTTTGCACACTCCCACTGTGCATACAATTTAGAACAGGTAACAGAATCATAAGGAAATATATTACTTTGACCCAAAAGATCCTTGACTGAAGCACTGAAGTTACCTCTGAGACTAATTTGGTCTCACAGTTTTTGCAACCCAATGTAGAGATAAATATAACATATGGTGTGCAATTAGAAGCTTTATGGTATACCATATATATGGTATTCTCACTATTTATATAGTGTAACATTAAAATAAATGAAACAATGAGAACAAGAAGGTTTATGAGCCTAACAAACATAAGTGGACCCCAGTCTTTGTATTTCATCTCCTAGGCTAAGGACAGACATTACACACAGTGGCTTGAGTGATTAGAAACTGGTTTAAACCAGTTTAAACCTGTAACAGAACACACAAACCAGTGCACATATACCAGTTTGAGAATGGCTGAAACTGGTTTGAGATGAACTTGATTGAATGTAGTAGCAGACTGAACCGATTTGGCTCAAATTGGCTTATGCAATCTCTATCCCAGACCCCTTGCTGGCTTAAGATAAACCAGACACCCCCAGCATCCTGGCATGCTCTCTGGCCTGGGTGGGGCTCTCTGTTCCACAGCAGGCCTGGCCCCTCTGCTCCAGAGACTGCAGGCTTCTTCCCCACTTCCTTCACCACACCCTGCTAAGCAGGAATTCCCCACCCCCCCGTTGCTGAGGAGATGTCTTTATATTAGCTAGCATACCACATGCTGGCTACAGTCCCTGCTGAATCAACAAGTAGAATCAACAGGTAATGTCTCCCTCTTGCTTTCCTAATTGGGTGATAAACACCGTTATCAATTTCCTGCTGGGCTAATCAGAGCTCCTGCTGGAGCCTGGCCACGCCCCTCTCAGCTCCATGCTGTGGAAGGAAAGAACAACTGCTCTAGCACCCCCCAGCTTCTAGCCTGAGCCACTATAAGTATGTGCCTGCATTTCTGGGATGTCTATCTGGTTACAAAACTGCTTTAGCTTAGCCATGTTAGACTAACCTGCAAAGATTGAATCAATTCAGGCTCAGGCTTTTTGAATGTCTGTCCCTAGCCCTTATGTCAGATGTCTTATTTAAGCATTTTCCTTGACTAAATCCAGAAGCTAATCACAAGTATAAGTACTTCACCACTCATTCATCAGTAGAAGACCAATATTGACTGTTAGTGACCATTTCCATATTATACAGTGCAATTTTACATTGTGTTGAGTAGTATAAAAATAAACTGCTCTCAGTGTAAGAAACATCTTCATGATACATCCAGATGAGAGACTACCTAGGTATCTCTGGTACAAACTCAAACCACTTTGGATCTAAATGATGAGTTACACATCAAACAATTAATAGTCCTCTGGGTACCTGGGTAAGACTGAGAATGCAGCATATCTCCTAAATGTCTGTTCTTCTCATGTTTGCCTATCAGGAGAGCATCTTAAGTGCAATTCTTCTGCTATTGAATGGCAAAAAATGTGTATGGTGCCTACCCATGACAGGAAGATTAGGACATCCTATCACTTTAATGAGAAAGAACTCTGCAATTGGGGAGCTAAATAGGGGGTTACTGTGAGATTCCAGGGCAGCCAGGAATCAGTCCTACCTAGGCAGGGAGCTTCCAATTCAGGAAGAGGGGAATACCTGCAGCCAGTCAAGAGACCACTATTTAGAATAGGCTGACTGTGGGAGAACTCATAACTGAGGAGCTGGCTGCCAGCAAACAGAATGACAGCAAGCTGTAGGCAGGGACCAGCCCAGAAGCAAAGGGCTACAGACTACTGAACTAAACCCTAGCTAGGAAATCAGGTACGTCAGCAGACAATGGAAGGGTATGCTAGTGACATGCTGCAGGGCACATGACTAGATGGGCAGGGCTCAGGAGGCACATAAAGCCAGTGCCTGAGAGCAAGCTGCAGGGCACGGAGTTCCAAGATAGGATGGCAGCAGAGCATATGGTTGACTACTGAGCTGCGCTAGGGATACTAGTAAAACACTGAGGGCTTTTAGGCAATATAACCCAGAGAGGGGAAGCTTTGTTATGTACAGCCAGGGAACTGGGGTTTATGGTGCAACCCATATAGGGATAGCTTTCTTTTTACAGCCAGAGGGCTTTCTTATTGTGTTATGTTTTATAGTGGCAGTTTGGGTTTGGGACTACTGGGGAGGTGGAGGTCCTATTTGTGCCTAAGGTGCATGCAGTTGCCTTGCTCCCAGCCAGGGCAGGAGAGAGAGTGCTAGGAGCCCAGTGCTCAAGCAGGATTCAAGCCAGGTTCAGGGATCTGTAGCCCAAGAGAGGCAAACTGATAGCCTAGGAGGGGTGAGAATCAGGATCAGGAACTGAAGCCCAGCAGGGGCAACAGCAGCCCAGAAGTGTAGAGATCAGGGACCTAGCAGCCCAGAAGGGGAGATTCTAGGGATAGGGGCCCAGAGCAAGAGAAAAGGGCCAGACACCCAGAGAGACTAAAGACTGCTAGGGCTGAAGGCAATAGAGCCAGACCCAAATCAGTGGGCCAGGGCTGATGGACAGAGAAAACGGAAACAAGCTGAAGAGGCTGAGGGCCCTACAAGGGACAGAACAGTATTGATTAAAACATGCAAGCCATGGACATGGCTATAGGGCAGGTCAGAGGCTGTGAATAGCCCATAAGGCAATGAGTGCCGGGGGCTGGGGGAGCCAGTGCATGTACGGACCAGGAGTGCCCACCTGAAGGGCTGGATTTGAGCCAGTGGGGTCCAGGAGGGGATCTGCTGGTGAAAGAAAGATGTAGGCGTGTTCTAGGATTCTTAGGCAGCTTCCCTTTAATAATCTAACAATTAAATCAAGGTTTGGCAGGAAAGGGCAGAAGAGAGGTGTAACAGGGGTACCTCTTTGGAGTCCATCTACCACCCCGCTGTTATGGGCCAACCTCCCACCTTCTTGCCTGCCATGCCTTGTTGTTAATTGATTAATAGATGTAATTAAGCAGGAGGCTGCCCATTTTCTGCCCCGATGCTATCTGTGGCTCTGTTCCTCCCCTACATTGCAGCCCAAGCCTCACAGATGGTATTTGTAAATTCCTCTTTATGTCGGGGTCTAGGCCACAGTGGGCCTACCCCCCTTTAATCTAGCTAGTCCTGTCAGACAAAAAAACCAAAAACAAACAAATCACTAATCAGGGTTTAACTCCCAGGCTCTAGCTCTCAAAAAAACCCAAAAAACAAAAAATTCTCACTCGGGCTCCTGCCCCTCTGGGGCGCTGGGGTCCACTCACCCCTGAGTATTGTAGCCTCTTCTGGCGCCGGGGTCCATGCACCCCAAAATGCTGCACCCTCTCTGATGCCAGGGTCTGTGCACCCCAAAATGCTGCGCCCTCTCTGGCGCTGGGGACCTCACGCTGCTGTGGGTCCCCTATGAGACCTCCTCCATCCCCTTATAGCCTCACCAGTCTTAAACAGTAAACAAAAACACAAACCCCTGGACTGCAACAAATTCAAGCTGTCTGGCTATAAGATCATCCAAGCCATACCGGGGAACACTCTGTCCCTCAGCAGTCGGAAGCTGCTCCTACAGTCAGGCCTCTCCCCTCTTGCTTGCTCTAGAAGAGCTCCTTCCCCCTTGGCTGCTGGCAGGGAACTCCCATCCTGGCCTCAGCCCTGGGGTTTATATGTGAGCCAGGCCCTGCCCCTTCCGGTCACCTGACTGCCTGGCAGGGCTTGAGCCTTAACCTCTACTTGACCGGCCAGCTGTGACCAGAAGGTTCCAGACTTAAAGGGGCCACCCTATCTCTTAGTAACAGGGTTAGGGTTCCCTGTTACCCCCCCCCCCCCTTCTCTCTTGTCCATGGTCCTATTGTTTCCCCTAGTCCCTCTTCCTCCTCGTATTGTCTCAAGAAGAAATCGGCACTTACATTCTGGGTTCCAGGGCGATGCTTTACCTCAAAACAATATGGTTGCAGAATAAGGGCCCATCTCATCAGTCTAGCTTTGTCCATCTTCATACTCTGTAACCAGCATAGGGGCACATGATCAGTGATCAGTGTGAACTGCTGCCCTAACAGATAATATCAGAGTGTTTCAACAGCCCACTTAATCACCAAACACTTTATTTATCGTGGCGCAATTCTTTTCTGGTGGGTGTAATTTCCTACTTATGTAGGCTATAGGGAGCTCTTCTTCTTTCTGAACCAACACCACTCCAATAGCCATTTTTTGATGCATCAGTCTGCAACAGGAAAGGTTTATTAAAATCCAGTGTATATAGTAGGGGTTGCAAGTATAGTGTGTCCTTCACCACTCAGAATGCCTTTTCCATATCTGGTGTCCATCTTACCTTGGCTGGAGTCCCCACCTTTATCATCTCTGTCAAAGGCACTACTAAGTCCTCAAAGTGAGGTACAAACCTTCCATAATAGCTGGCGAGCCCCAAAAAAGCCCTCACTTGTTTCTTGGTATGAGGAGCTTGATACTTTCACAATGCCTCCACCTTGCTTAACAACGGTCTCACCTTTCTACTTCCTACTAGGAACCCAAGGTATTGTGTTTCTTTTTTCCCCTATCGCACATTTCTTCGGATTGGTCATCAGCCAGGACCTTCTCAAGTCTTGCATTATTGCTTTCAGCGCAGTGAGGTGTTCAGCCCAGTCTTCAGTGTATATAATAATATCGTCTATGTAAGCTGCGGCGTAACCCCCATGGGGAGCCAAAACTCTGTCCATTAGACACTGAAACGTAGCCGCAGCTCCATGTAATCCAAACTGCATGTGCCAGAAGTGGAAGAGACCCCAAGGCATGGTGAATGTTGTCTTTTCTTGATCTTTGGGTGCTACTGGGACCTGCCAGTATCCTTTTGTCAGGTCTAAAGTGGAAATGTTGCAAGCTTGCCCAATGTTTCCCACCAGTTCATCTATTCTTGGCATCAGATAGGCATCAAACTTAGCTACTGCATTTACCTTCCAGAAAAATTGATACAGAGATGAATTTTTCCATCAGGCTTAGGTACTGCCATGATGGGGCTCTGCCAGTCTCTGTGGGACTCGCATATGATGCCTTTCTCCAGCATCATTTCAATCTCCATTTTTATCTGGGTCTGCAGTTGCTCTCAAATCTGTCTCCAGTTCTCACAGTTCACCTGGCATGGTCTTCTCTGCTCTTCAGATAGTCACGGGGCCAGTTCTGTGCCACCCGGTCCACTTCCCTCTATCAAGGAGGGTCCCAACTCTAATTCCTCAGGATGAAGGGCTAGGTACATAAACTCCTGGTCTTCCCACTTCAACATATTGACATGGTATATTTGCTTCTTTTTTGTTTATCTGTCTGATGCACCTTGTAGTCTATGGGCCCCACTTGGTGTATAATTTCATAGGGACCCTGCCACTGGGCAAGTAACTTACTGTCATGGTCAGGTAATAGAACCAACACATGGTCCCCCAAGTCAGACTTCCTTTCTCATGCACCTCAGTTATAATTCCTCACTTGTCGTTGCTGGGCCTCTCTGAGATTTCCTAACACCTTGCTCCAAGCTGCTTCAAGATGTTCCTGCAGTTGTATCACTTATTGGTTCAAGTTCTGATCTTTACTATGCTGTTCTTCCCAACTCTCTTTAATCAGATCCAGGATTCCCCTTGGTTGCTGGCCATACAATAGTTCAAAGGGTGAAAACCCAGTCGAGGCCTGGGGTGCCTCTCTTACAGCAAACAACAATGGTGGTATCATTTTATCCCAATTCTGAGGACTCTTGACCACAAATTTCTTTAACATCTGCTTCAAAGTCCAGTTAAAATGCTCCATGAGCCCATCCGTTTAGGGGTGATACAGTGCCGTGTTCAGGTATTTAATCCCCAAAGCTTTACTCACTCCCTCAAAACACACGCGATGTAAAATTCATTCCCTGGTCTGTCAGCAGTTCTCTAGGGAGTCCTACTCATAAGAATATCTTCAACAGCTTGTTCGCCACCTTTGGAGCGGGCACTGTCTGCATCAGGACAGCTTCCAGGTACCTTGTTGCATAATCCAGTAAAACTAAAATATACTGGTTTCTGGTGCTACTTCTGGGAAGTGGCCCCATGATGTCCACTGCCACCCACTCAAAGGGAACCTCTACCAAAGGCATCAGAATTAAAGGAGCTTTTGGAGGGTGCTTTGGGTTCACATTTTGGCACACGGGACATGAAGCACAATACCTTGCCACTTCCCGCAATAGTCCTGGCCAAAAAAATCTTGCCTGAATGCGAGCTTCTGTTTTGTCCCTGCCCAAATGTCCACCCATAGGAAGCTCATGAGACACCTTCAGTAAAGCCCGTTGATATCACCGAGGTACCAGCAACTGTACACCCTCCTCTCCTTCAGGCTTCCCTTGCTCAATTCGGTACAGGAGGTCATTTCTTACCTCGAACCTTGGTGTTGTCTTCATCAGCTCTGGTCATAATACCTCGCTGTTTCATTGAGCCAGGTGTTCCTGCAAAGCATACCGAAAATCTGCCTCCCAACTCTGCTCCAACTGGAAATGTTTGTCCTCCCACAAATGCACAACATCCACCTCTTGTTCGGCCTCTTCTTTGGGAGGAGTTGTTCAGTTTCACCTGTGAATCCCTCAGCCCTCGGGTCACCTTCCCATCCAGCCTCCGGCTTCTCAGTCTCCCAGGGCCTCCAACAGCAACTTTCTCTCATCTCAGTCCCCTCCTTTTGCCTCACGCTGGCTATCTCTTTCAACAACTCTGGCCAGTCACAGCCCAGTACTCCTGGGTAGGGTAAGCACTCAGTGACCCCAACTAGCATCTGGCAGGTCCTATTGCCTACTTGTAGGATGACCCCCACTCTGCCAATTTCAATGGAATCCCCACACGAGCATTGCACAATTACATGGTCTGCTATTTCCCTCTCTCTTGGTAGTAACACGTCGCTCCGCACCATTGTCTGTAATAAGCCTGAGTCCAGCATAGCCCATACCTTTTTTCCCTCCATCATCATTTCCACCATCAATGCGGGTGGCTTATCTCCCACCTCAGAGTCAACTCTGGCTCCGTAGCTGCACCTGGGTCATTGATCATGGGTGGATGCTCCCGGTCATATTGGCTAGCAGTGCCAGCTGTCTTGCAGCTTGATCCTGTAGGCCTTGTATTGTTTGGTGTAGCCAATCCAAGACTTGCTGCTGTGACTCTGGGTCTGGGGTTAGTGTCTGCTCTCGCTTCTCTCTCTCCATGGACCCAAGAGTTCTTTCCCTCATACGGGTGAACCAGCGTCCTATGATGCATACTGCCATATGAAAAGTTCCCAGCCAATGCACCATTGTAACAGGGGTGCCTCTTTGGGGTCTGTCTACCAGTGGCCCCGCCCACCTGTTATGGGCCAGCCACCCACCTTCTCTCCTGCCATGCCTTGTTGTTAATTGATTAATAGATGTAATAAAGCTGGAGGCTGCCAATTTTCTGCCCCAATGCCAGGGGACACTATCTGTGGCTCTGTTCCTCCTCTACACCGCAGCCCAAGCCTCACAGATGGTATTTATAAATTCCTCTTTTGCCAAATGGTTACTGTCTTGCCCTGATTCTAGATACCTTTCTGTAACATGGAACCCTAACCCTGTTACTAAGAGACAGGGTGGCCTCTTTAAGTCCAGAACCGCTTTAAGTCTAGGCCACTGTAGGCCTACCCCCTTGCTCTGGAACAGCTCCTTCCCCCTTGGCTACTAGCAGGGAACTACCATCCTGGCCTCAGCCCTGGGGTTTATATGTAAGCCAGGCCCTGCCCCTTTCAGTCACCTGACTGGCTGGCAGGGCTTGAGCCCTAACCCCTACTTGACCAGCCGGCCATGGTTCTGGACTTAAAGGGGCCACCCTGTCTCTTAGTAACAGGGTTAGGGTTCCCTGTTACAGAAAGGTATCTAGAATCAGGGCAAGACAGTAACCATTTGGCTAACAGGGGCAGCATGGTTGCCCCTGATGCCCAGTCTGCTACACTACCCAAGACCACCTTGATGGTTTCTACCCATCTATTTCTGTTTTATTCTCCCTATCTTACACTTAGTAGCTTCAGTATTTATTCCATCCTTTTCATATCTCTATTTTAATTCTGAGCATTTGTTAAATAATAATTAAAATAAAAAATAAATGAAGAACATTCTTTATTCTTCTATTTTCTGTGTAGTCTCTCTTTGCCTTCTGGGTTCCCCCCCCCCCCCTTTCAATTTATTTTTCACAGCTTTTTTGGAAACTGTAATTTAGGAACATTAAAAAAAAGA